GTACACTGTCGTCAGGCTCCCCATTGTTCTCGGTGCCCTTGGTTTGGTACCTCCTGATCTCTTGGCGCAGATCAGGAGAGTGCCCGGGTTCTCCACCGGGAGTACAGCCCTTCTGACACTCTGGGTAATGCAGAAGGCTGCAGTGTTGGGGAGCCTTCATATTCTCCGGAAAGTTCTTGGTGGGTTCGACTAGGCAGCGTTTCCTGGGAGAAGTCCCATTCGCTGTCTGGGCTGCGTGTAGAGGGGGCGAGGGCCCTGAGCTGATGATGAGCCTTACCAGCCTGACTGTGCCAGGATCACCCGAACCCTCTCTGCTGCATTTATCATCTTAATCTGTAAAACATAATAATAATAAGTATATTTCTAGAGCGCCAAAATTCCACGCCGGGGGCATGCTCATAGCGCATACAGAGAGTTCTAGTTGCAGTGATATGATACTGAGAAAAGGTGAGTCTTGAGGTGAGATCTAAATAGAGTCAGAGTTTGACATGTTCGCAGATGGTCGGGCAATTCGTTCCATTTCTTGGCCGCTGCCACCTGGAAAGAACGGAAACCATATGATTTCAGCTGCCAACGAGGAACATGCAGTAGGTCTCTGTGACTGGAGCGAAGCGGTCTACCGGGGATGTACGGCCTGAAGAGTTCCTGGAGGTACACTGGAGCTGTTCTGTGAACACACTGATATGTCAAAGTCAGTATCTTGAAGTCAACTCTCGCTCGGATTGGTAACCAATGTAGGCGTTTCAGGACAGGAGTAATACTTGCAAATTTAGGGGTTTTGGTGACAATGCGTGCTGCAGTATTCTGAATTCTCTGGAGTCGATTAATGAGTTCCTGTGAGATATGGAGCAGAAGGCTGTTGCAGTAGTCAATACGGGAAAGTATCAGAGATCGAACAAGTGCTGCAGTAGAATCCTCAGTCAGAAGATGGCGGATACTGCCAATGGTTCGGATGTGGTAGTAACAAGATTTACATAACTCTGAGACTTGCTTCTCCATCGACAGATCACATTCAAAGTAGACACCAAGATCTTTGACTGTTGATGAGAGGGGAATGGGTGTGTCACCAATGTGAAGAGAAACAGTATTGATCTTCGACAGGCGGGAGGCTGGGCCGACTAACATCACCTCTGTCTTGTCCTCATTTAGCTTGAGGAGATTGGTGTTCATCCAAGCCTTGACAGATGCACAGCAATTCTCCATGTTCGTCAGTGGAGAGTTGGTGTTCAACTTGAAGCTATCGGTCATCTGAGTGTCATCTGCATATAGATGATGTAGGACATTGTGGCTCTGGATTACCTCCTCCAACTGCTTGGTGTACATGGTAAACAACAGAGGTCCCAAAACAGAACCTTGAGGGACACCGTAGTCCACGGAGACGGTAGATGAGTGTGAGTTCTTGATCACAACCGTTTGTTGCCGCCCTGATACATATGAAAGAAACCATGACAAAACCTTGACACTGATTCCGTAATCAATCTTCAGCCTTTGCATCAGCGTAACATGGTCAACCGTATCGAAAGCTGCCGAGAGGTCCAGGAGAACTAACACAGCAACTTGTCCAGCATCCACAGCCTGTTGGAGGTCATTTAGTACTCTGAGTAGAGCAGTCCCAGTGCTGTGGGCTTTCCTATATGCGGACTGGAACTTGGCCATGAGATTGTGTTCTTCTAAGTGATGCAGAAGCTGCTTGTTCGCTGCCTTTTTGAGTATCTTTGACAAAAAAGGCAGATTAGAAACAGGTCGATTGTGTTTCATTATGTTTTTGTCCAAATTTGATTTTTTAATAAGTGGTTGACAGATGCTTTCTTAAAAGACTCTGGTACTGATCCGCTTGCCAGACTGGTGTTGATCATCCTGGTTATGGTAGGAAGAATGATGTCCACTACAAGGACCAGCAGATCAGTGGGTATTGGGTCCAGTTCACAGGTGGTGGGCTTAGAGTCCTTGATCAGATGTAGAACCTGTTCATCTGTCAAAGGTTGAAATTCACTGAACTCGGGATATACAGGGACTTGCTCGTTGGTTGATTGAGTGTCAGTAGTCGGTGTAAAGCTTCTCATGATAGAAGCTACCTTGTCTGTGAAAAAACTGTTGAACTCATCAGCCAATGTGGCACCCCTTTCAGCATCAGGAAGTGTGTAGGCTTTCTCTCGCTCCAAAAGTTTGAACATGTGAGACCACAGAGACTTGGGGTTGTTTAGATGAGACAAGATAGTTTCATTGTGAAACGTTTTCTTAGCAGAACGAATGATTTTCCTGACATTGTTGCGCTCCTGCTTGTAGAGTTATCTGTGAACTGGAGATCCTTCTTGAAAGTGTCAAGACAAATGCCCTTGATATTTCGACACAGTACAGTTTTATGTTGTGGTTGAGGTTGAGTCAAGCAGAGTGAGAAGGTAATCCAACAATGATCAGACATCATGCGATCTTCAACACTGACATTCTCAATCATAGTGTCAGAGCCTCTAGTAATTATCCAGTCAATGATATGACCACTATATGAGTCGACTGGAGTACACGTTGTGTCAAGCCATTGGCCCTCAGTACAGATATAATATCACGGCTGGGGACACCAGAAAAGGGCTTCACGCATTCTTATCCATGTGGGGAATCGAACTCAGTCCTTCAGCATGACGAGCAGACGCTTTAACCATAAGGCTATTAGGTTCCAGTAGATCTTTTCATATGATATGAATAATTCATCACTAAAAAGTGTTAATGTGCATAGGATGGATGGCGTTAATGATAATATGGACATATACATATCATGATCCGATAAACATGCAACTGAAGTCTTCTTGGAGTGATTGAGTATGGTTTTACGCCGCCTTTAGCAATATTTTGTGGGGGGGACACCAGAAATGGGCTTCACACATTGTACCCATTTATGGAATCGATCCCTGGTCTTTGGCATGATGAGCGACCGCTTTAACCACAAGGCTATCCCACAGCCCCAGTCTTTTAGGAAACTTCCAGGGACTGCTTTTCAATATATGCATATGGAGATAATGTTTACCTTTTACTTGCTATCTGTGAAGATCCGGATTAGAATAAATGAACCTACAGCAACCCATGCTTGTCGTAAGAGGCTACTAAATTATAACGAAATCAGGTGGTCAGGCTCGCTGGCTTGGTTGACTTATGTCATCGGTTCCCAATTGCGCAGGTCGATGATCATGCTGTTGATCACTGTATTGTCTGGTCCAGACTCAGTTATTTACAGACCGCCGCCATATAGCTGGAATATTGCTGAGTGCGACGTAAAACTAAACTCACTCACTCACTTTTACTTGCTGCCTGACGTCCTGATAAGTTAAAGGTCGTTCAGTGTGCATAGTCTTGTTGATATTTTCCACTTTCAACTCCGTTTTCAAACCTAGGTTTCATTGCATGCACAGGTGTATTTGACACGCTGTCTCTGTAGGTAGGAAAATGAGTAACGAGGCGACAGGTAAACTGACGTTGATATCAAAGACACAAAAATATTGGGGTCAGAACACAGGTAAAGTATTATGGAGGAAGCAGACAGGTGATTTGTCATTGAGGCCAGCAACCAGGTAAAATATCGTTGAGAGCAACGCAGAGGTTATGTGTCGTTGAGCCTAGCAGGCAGGTAAAGTATCTTTAATGCCAACATACAGGTTAAGTGTCGTTGAGAAAATATGTCAGGTAAAGCGTCGGTGAGAAAACCAGGCAGATAAAGTGACATGAAAAGTGACTCATCATGGATACATATTGTTTGGATGGGCTTGTGTCAACACACCATTGCTAGACTATCGTCAGCCGTTTACAGAGTGCAGTTGGGAATCACAATAAAGGCGATACTACTTTTCCAGGTCTGAGCCTGAGTATCTCATGACCTGATCTGTATGTCACCTCAGGGATGGAAACAACAGTCACCCTGACTCACTCTGACTCTGTGTCAGAATGATTGTGACTGGGTCCATGTAAAACGTCACAACAAAACAATACCCAGTCTTGACTATGCTCAGAAACAACATCCGTTTGGTGTAAAGGGGAAATAGCTGTGAAAATAATAGAACTAGATCACGGAAATCCCAGGTCTGACACCGGGTGTTCATGAAACGAGTGTCCTGCTAACCCGCCATCGACAAAATTTGCCTAGAAATGGAACTGCCTTTTGCCTGCCGTCGTACAGCAATACCCATGCCATACGGTGCAGCCTGTAAACAGACCAGACAATCAAGCGACAGATGCACTGGAATCAAGTTAGATCAGCTTCAAATTACACTGACTTCATCGACATAATTAGCTGTGTGTGTCGGTCGTCACCTTAATTCAACCCTTGATATATGACATCTACAATAGTCAGAAACAAACATATTTACTAATATTTGATATTTACTAGTATTAATGTACTAATATATATTTTCAGGATCCGATAAATATGTAAACAGATTACCTTCAGAGTGATATTTCCAATAAGCAATTTATTTGTTTAGTAACATCAGGCTGTGTAACCTGATACGTGACCACGCATACGACTGTGCATGTTCCAACAGATTAACCTACATTTTCCTTAAACAAGCGTCAGAATACAACCCATTACCAAATTGTTATTAGGTTGGTGTGTATATATATATTGCACAGACCTTTTCAAGAAGAGGCGAAAGACAAGGACAAGGATTACTATTTTCAGATTTCACTTCGCAAGTAAACTTCATATGACATAGAAAGCCCGTTAGATATATTATTGTGTAATATACATGCACGAGGATAACAGGCTAAGTGACCGTTCATAATTTATGGCAATTGGGGAGGGGGGGAGGAGGGATGATGATTTTTATGCAGAAGCATGTACAATGTGACTGACACCCCCCTTAATTTCACGTACAAAGTAAGTGCCCCACCTTGCATATCATGTACAGAATCAATGACCCCCTCCCCATAATTTTGATAAAGCAAACGAATGACATCATGGCAGGATTCTGAGATACCGTTAGTCCTCGAAGACAGGGAGTTCAGCTGAAACTTACCCACCATGTAGATAAGCTTGTTGTCGGAGTCATACGTCATTTGTTCCAGACCAGGGGAAAGTTTGTAGCGCACATCTCCGTCAGTTCCGTATGAAGATGGCAGGTATAGAGTGGACTGTTTGATGAGCGACACCTTGTAACAACTCACCCCCACCAGACTCACCAGAAACAACAGTTTTAACGTATCCCACATATTTCCTACACAACTAGTTCTGTTTAACATGTATCGTCGACGAGTCGTGGAGGTGGTTGTACCTCGTTGCTTGGTGTCTGAGGTGACGTCGCGTGGTTGCCCTCAGGCTGTTTGCATGACTGTTATGTTACGGACGTGACAGGTACGTTTGTGCGCTGACAACAGTAGACACAAGTGTGTATATAACTAGTCCTTTTAAATAGGCAGGAAAGCGGATTCGACTTATGAATAGGTGTATTGACACAATGCATGTGATATGCTGCTGTAACTTCATACTGGACTTACGCATAGACCAACCTGAGTAGCTATACGATACAGGTTAGTGCAGCGCACATTTTTGCTTACTCGAGAAACTTTAATGTATTTGCTGTGGTAGGATTATTGAATATGACTCATTCTCTTTTCATTACATGTTAGGCGTTGGCTATGGCTTAGGTGCAAAGGAAGAAGATTAATATTAACAACAACAGGGAATGGCGGCCATTTTTTTTGTTATGGGGACAAAGCCAAACTCGACCAACAAAATGTCACCTTAATTACAAACTTGTGCTGTGCATAACAAGTGCAGGACAGCCTATCCTGGGCAAAATAGGCATTTAAACACACGATCAGCGTATCCTGTACATGTAAGGGACGCAACTCTGCTAAGACAACTGGGTCATCCCTGATAAGACTTCTGGTCTCGACAATATCTTAAGCTTGATCCCTAAATTTGTCTTCACGGTATAACTGAAGAAGGAAAGATTTATGCCTCTTGCCACTTTAACCTGCGTTTACATTCGACACAATCTAGGCTCTAGTCTCTAGAGGTTGTGTACTTTCCTTTTTGATAATATATTGATCAAATGTTGACAGAATCACACACACACACACACACACATTTTGTCAAATGCCGTTCAGAGACACACAGCTGTCCTCAACATTAAATGATGCTTATGAATACGTTAAGTTCCTGATTCAAGACTACTTGGAATGTTTGATGAAGGGGACATATCATAAATCACAACTGACAAACTTGAATATTTAACTGACAGTTTTTCGTGAGATTTAAATCATATATACCACATGAATCTGATGTATAGTTAACGGTATGTGGTAATCATGCAATATATTTTCCCAAGCATAAACACGCGAGATATCGCGTAGTCAGACGTATTCACGCATGATTGACACAGTGAGTTACCTATCCTTCAATGCCATCTGAAAGCGCCACTTTTTTGTTTGTCATGTACCAAGATGTAACAGTTTCTATGTGACAATGAATGTGTTTTTTGTGACTCAAGAACACAACTTATTAAAACTATATTCATACGCGGCAGTCAAATAACCTGGGAAAATGTTGCATTTGTATTGCACCCCTTCTGCTGCGATTCAGTGGAGGACATTGGTGTGTCAGTTGCTATATTTAGGGTCCTGAGTATTTTAGATGCTTCCAGAACATAATGGGTTCATTTGGCATCGTAAAGATCTTGCTGGAAGATATCCAAGACTATATATAAGGCGCTAGCGCATGACTCTGGAACATCTCACATTACATCCAGACCAGTTGGTTGAAGATACTACATTCACCCTGGATATTCACTAAAGGGTCCTTCACACTTATTTCGAATTGTCAGGAATCAAGGTGAAACAGCCAGAAATGTTTTACCAAGATTCGAACCGCATTCGGGAGAGAATGTCTAAATAAACAATTTATTCAAGCTTTGTAAGAATGCTGTTGGAATACTTCGAACCCGCCTCGAATGATTCTTACTCATTCCAAATGTACTAGATCACGAATGTAGCTCGAATGAATCGGAATACAGTAGGAATAGTTAGAATGCCGTTAGAATACACTATGAATACTTAAAATGCCGTACGAGTCCGGTTCGATTTCTGCGTGAATAACACTCGATTTTCAGTTGGAACGTACCTCGAATGTTGTACGAATTTACAGAGAATGCATTCAGAACCCTCTTGGAATGACCCCCGAATATGGATCAAATGTTAAAGAATTAAAACAGAATGCAGCTCGAATATTTCAAAATGTCTTTCAAATGCACTTAGAATGTAACACGAATGTCCGGAATGCATCAAGAATGCTGCCGGAATGTTCCACGACAGGGTATAAAATCCTGTTGAATCTATTCATCAGTCTCTGCCCAACTCCCATAGAGTATGTATCCCCTGGACCATGTTGCGTTGCTCCAGATTGCTGTCCTCCAGCGAGACCTGATTGAAAGAAATGTGGAGAAGAAACAGGAGAGGACCCAGGAGAAGACCCAGGAGATTCGAGTTGTATACTCCCCAGGGAGTTGAGATTGCTAACAAGATGTGCCGTTCAGATTGAATCCAATGCTCGAGGGAAAAAAATACCAGTGCCTTGAGCATGCACTAGTTGCCTGGATATGTGCGCTATATAAATATCATATAATATAATAAATTCCAGACCAGACCATGGCTGACAGAGGAAAGGAGGGGTCTGTATGGACAATTACACAAGACTGATGGAGGAGCTCGGAGTTGAGGACACGCAGTCATTCTTCAACTACCTTAGGATGGAGCCTGCCATGTTTGATGAGTTGGTGCGGAAAGTCGGACCAAGAACACAGAAGCAGGATACATATATGAGAAAGGCGCTACCTCCAGGCTTGAAGCTAGCCATCACAAGTACAAGGGCTTCTTCTCTGTGGTCCAAATTACCCTTATGGATGGAAATTACAAATTCGTTCGGGGTTGACGTTGGTGCTTACGGAAGTATGTTTGATGCTGAGATCTTCAACGAGTGCGAGCTCAAGGATTGTCTTGAAGACGGGAGCATAGGATTTCCTGATCCGTTCCCCTTACCCCAAGATGACGAGCGTATGTCATGCTTTATTTTGGGAGATGATGCCTTTGGAATAAGGGCCTTCTTGATGAAACCGTATGGTCATAGGGCTCTCCAGAGAGACGAGAGAATCTACAACTACAGGATCAGCAGGGGCCGACGGGTAGTGGAAAATGCATTTGGAATCATGGCCCAGAGATGGCAAATCCTCCTCACCACCATGCTGCCAAGGCCTTCCGTTGTAAAGGACATCATCGAATGCTGTGTCTGCCTGCACAACTTGATGAGGACTCGTTATCCTAATCTCCACAATGGTATGGTGGATGAGGAAGATGAGCAGCACAACGTGGTGCCAGGAGGCTGGAGACAACTTGCGCAGCTTGAAGATGTGAATGATATCTGACGTTTCAGTGACAGGTGGCTACGTTTTTATGCGATTCGGCAGCGTTCTGATGACGCCAGGGCTCATTTGAAGAGCATTCGGGACGTTCTGACTGTATTCGAGGTGTATTCGATGTACATTCGAGCTGTATTCCAAGAATATTCCACCTAAATCAGACCAGCAATCGAATATTCCACCTAAATTGTACCAGCAATCGAATATTCCACCTAATTTTCACCAGCATTCGAAGTACATTCGAGGCGCACTCGGGACATTCTTGTAGGCTTTGAAATGGCTTGCTTTTTCGATTCTCCCTCGAATACCTTAGAATGCAGTTAGAATGCAGTAAGAATACTTGGAATGCAGTTAGAACGCACTTCAAAAGCTGTTCGATATTTTTCCACTTCGAATGTACCTCGAAAGTTTTGAACATGTTCAAAACATTCGGGCATGTTACAAGAATTGACACGAATAGTTGGAAGCATTCGGAATGGAGTAAGAAGTTTTAGAATGCAGTCGGTTGCTGTTGGTTGAATAATATTGTCACGTGCCTTATTTCTGGTATCAGTGCTATCCCAATGAGACTGTACTCTCATTGACACTGCAGTTGCAATTACATTGCAGTAATTGAGTACCTAGTCAATTTATAATACAATTGTTAATTTATAACAGTTTTTCACGGTGAATCTGTTTGATTTCTTACTGTTTAACTTTGGAAAACACCACGCCAAAAAATATGGGGGCCTCAAAATGGTACCACATCGAAGACAACCTTTCATCTTCAAAACATTTTACGGACACAAGTGTCTCCATGTATGAAGATTACTCATCTTAGTGTGCTAGTGGCATTCTACTCGTCTGCATGTATACATTGGTCTTAAAAGTGAATGGTTTAGTTTTACGCCACTTTTATCAGTATACCAGCAATGTCACGGCGGGAGACAACAGAAATGGACTTCACATGGGCTGTATCTGGGTGGGGAATCGAACAAGGGTCTCTAAACACTAGTCTACACCCCCGGCATTGGTCTTAAGCTTTACCATTTTGTTTGTGCATGAGTGAAGCCGCCATCTAAACCCAGTTGTCCTGTATCGGGACGAAAGTGGAGCACTGGGTTGAGATGTGTGATTAAGATACATGTGATTTATTGATTTGCACTTCTGTGCTGGAGAGATTGTCATTCTGCCGCCCCTGTGGGTGCATGAGTGATCGTCCTGGGATCACTACTGACTGGTTGTGTAACAGGTGTAAAATCAGAGGGTCTCAAAGTGTACAAGGTTAGTGACCACGCCCCTTCTTTGTAACTAAACTCTAGAACGTAATTTGGAACTTAATTTATTTTCTTCAATGAAAGTATCTGCAGTGAACCACAAGAGCGAGAGGATACTTTCAAAACTGTTTAAAAATCAAATATTCAGTTGGCATTTAAATGTTTTATCATCTTCTACCATTAATATATCATATTTATTCATGTAAAGAATTTATCCGTGACATAAGCTTATGACATGAAAGCATCTATGTCATACCCCAATGATATAAGTATGCAAATTAGATAACTTCATGAAATTCCCGTCGCATAATGTCCAAATTGCCCATAGACAACACAGTCAGCGGTCTGATATTATACAATAAATGTTTCTGGTGGCGTTAACGCTGTTTGGTGGCAACATTACTTGTTGAAACGTGACCATTAAACCTTCAAGTCCACACTAGAACATATTCTCCTTTCTCCGCGAGACATTCAGTGAGTCGAAACGTGTTTCCTGTCCTTTTTCAAATCGAGTGTGAAATGCGTCGCCTTTTCTCTTTGATTCGGCGGCCTTTAAATACAAAATTTCAGCGCAAACGAATACCTGGTGTGAACTAGGGTAACTCAGAAACAAATTCCTTTTGGTTTAAAGGGGAAATACTGTGAAAACTATTTGAATGGATCAT